GCCTGTGAATCGTGATTGGAATCGAATCGTGACTTCTTTGGCAATACCCACCCCTAATCTTCACCAGTCGTTTTCCAAAATGGCGGTCATACAATTAAAAAAAAGCCGGTAAGGAACCAAACAGGAAATACGTATAGAGTATAGCTGATGTGGATTTGACCAATCAGAGGCCTCCTGTCTGAAGCACTCTCTGCGCTCACCTATAGTTTTGGAGAGGTGCAGCAGAGTGTCTGCGGAGCAATATGGATTAACGGATTAAGACTGAGGGGAAAAGAGTTCAGTGCAGCTTGGTGGAGAACAAATGGATCAGCAGGGGAGTCATTGGAGAAGTTACTCTAAAAGTAACTGAGAAAGAGATTCTAGAAAAACATAAGTGGTGCAAAAGTAAAAGAATTGAAACGGTTAAAAACAACGAGAAACAGAGAAAGGTGTGACAGCTTATCAGTGTTGATTAAATTTGACGAATAGCAGTTACCCAGCAAAGTTTTCATTAGATACAAGAGCTACAATGTCGAAATGTACAATGCTCCGCCTCTGAAATGCTTCAAATGCCAAAAATTTGGACATATAGCAGCAGTAAGCAAAGGAAAACAGCGATGTGGAAGGTCTGCTGGAGAGCATGAATACGGAAAATGTGGGAAAGAAGCTTAGATCAAATGCTGTAACTGTGGTGGAGAACATACTGCTGCATTTCGCGAGTGTGAAGTAAGCAAAAGGTCTGAGGAAATTAGAAAAGAGAAATTAGAGCTCAGAATAACGTATGCTGAAGCTGCAAAAAGGATCCCATCCCAGTCAGAGAAAAAGAAAAAAAGATAATGATATTTTTCCAAACTGTTTAACTTAACCCAACATAATAAATACTTAATCACATTTGCCCTTATAATTTCTAATTTATCTTTCAGTCATCATCACTCCATCAGTTTCTGATGGTCCTACTGGTTTTCCCATCACGCTTTCTGCTGTTTCCCAGTTTAAATCTTTAACTTTAAGATACTTTTCTGCAGCTTTCACTATTATTTTTATTTTTTCGTTTTTTCTTGTCGTCTGAGCACTACAATAAATCACTTCTACCATGAAAAGAACAAAATTTCAA